ACACACAGATTGGAAATTAAATATAAAGAAGCTGAAAAAGTAACCCCAGCTTTGCACAGGTTCACAAAGGTAAAGAAGAAGAAAAGCTACCACTTTTTATGTTTGTATTTTCCATGAAGGGGGACTTTGAACGTCCCTCACAGTGCTGCCTTGAAACATTATCAAACGTCAGAAATCTTGAATGAATTCCAGTCAATCCAAGAAACACAAACTCTAAAGCTTCCATTGTTTTGCCTTTACAAAAGGTCTGCAGCCTAAAATCCCCATCTTAACACTATGCTGTGTTTGCACTTTCTATACCACTAAAAGAACCCACACTCTGCCCTGGATTTACTACAATTTATCCTGACATGTATTGTGGCAACCCGGGGGGGGGAATGGAAAGTCTCCCAGCATGTAGGACAACAGGGTTATAGAGACCTAGTTTATAAACGTTTCTGTAATGTTACTGGCATGATTCTGTTTGACTAATTAATCTGTGGTATATCAGTCAATAGCAGCAAATGTAGGGTGCTGAGACACTAATAAAGCTTTTTGTTCAGCTTGACGCTTTGATTTGGACTTTCACTTGCCACAATATACACAGCCTAACTCTAACAGTCACCTGTTAGACGGCTTGACTCAGGTAACACTTTGCACTGGGTGCTGTGAGGCTGTAACACAGGATATTGCAAAATTCTAGCAACACTTGTGGTATGACAGCAACTTTATTATCAGACACATTTGGGACCTGTGCGGCTATAACACGCCAGTCTTTCATTACTACAAGTGTTGTTGGGTATTTGATCCTTCATGATTGCTTCCCTTCTTCATCTATCTATAAGCGGGTACATGGAATATTGGGGGTTATATTATGTTTTAAACAAAGCAAAGAACACTCAAGGGGATTGAACGTTTCACTTAATTTGAGTAGTGGTTTGAATGGAGTGTGATGCAGTATGTGTAACACAATGGTTATGCTTTAACTGCTTTAAATTGAATAATAAGTACAATATTATCTTTTGGACAGTCAAAAAGTCTTGATGATTTTTATGTTTATTTTTTGCTTAAATCAATCCAGGTTTGAAACGAGATTTTGTTTTTCAAACCAGCTGACACACACACACACACACACACACACAAATGCACACAGCCGGTAGCTCCTAACTGTAACCGCAGCACTGCTGGTTGCTGACTGGCAAAATGGGATCAGCTGGGGTTCAAGGGCATCTTGATGTGAGCTGATGAGGGAAGATAGATAAACATTTCTTCGCTTCTCTAAAAATTATTTCCTATAAAGTGAACAACATCATTATATTTCTTCCTGTTGTACCATATAAGTTCTTTCAAAAATAACACAAGGCATTGCAGTGACAGCACAATAAATATAACTTTTTTTTAGGAATGTCCAGTTGCTAAATTGACTTAATTGCACTGTCCCATGCTTTGGCTGACCTTTTTTCACACCCCTGTATAAAACAGTATCTTACACAGATACTTACTGGTGAGCAAAGGGGTTGAAGTCCAATGCTGCAGAAACCCTCTCTTGAGCAGGACTCGACAGCCTGAGTCTTCCCACTGACCTTTCCCATTGATGAGGTAGGTAATAGGCCAGGCCACATGATCTAATCACTACAGCATGTGCTTTGATAAGCTCTGGCCTTAACCCAACTGTTTTATCTGCTATACCTCCAGGTCTCCTGACGCTCAATATATTGACGTCTATATGAAAACCGGATACCTGCTGGAAAGAGGTTATAAAAAAAGTGAGCCGATCTAATCCGACAGATGCTGAAAATACAGAAATTATTACAGAGAAACCAAATCAGCCAATATCCGTCAGAATTGTCCTTGATGGATAGTTTCACTCAAGCAACCCAATTGGTCAAAGACATATTCGAGCTGTGTGAATTCTTGCCATTACCGTTATTGCTTTGCCAGTTGTTTCCTGGTTACCATGTGAAGATGTTAGTGATCTCTTTTTCTGCTGGAAGAAAAACCATAAACCTGTAACTGTTTAAGCTATTACTGTATTATAGTTATGAGTTGCTTGGTCGTGCATTACCTGCATCTTGTAGCTACCTGCATTACAATCAGCATAATAAAGAAAGGTCAAGTTCAAGTAAAGGTGGGGTTTTTAGTAGCACTCATTCCTTTGAGATTATACTAGATATCTTAGTATCTCCTCAACATGAGAGAAAAAACAATATGGTAATAATTTGCCAAATCTGACTGATTTCCATGAAGACAAAGAGACAAAAATTTCTTTTTTCTGTTCTTTGTTTTACAGAAGTCGACCACAATAACATCTCTCATTAGATTAATATTAGATTAGTTTAGAATATGTATAGTGTGAGTGTGGGCCTGATTTCTGTGAATAATTGTGTAATCACTGATACAAAAAAGATAATGCGAGAAAGGGATTTATTAATCATCCTTTCATTCAGTTAGAATAAATTAGAGAATGCACCAGGTGTCTCAACAGATTATTTTAGAGCATTTTAGTATTTTGTTAGTGTTGGATCATTAAAGAATATCCATTTACAATGGGGACTGATTCCTGTTTGCATAATAATACAGCTATTTTCAAGGCAGAAGTCTTAACAAATCAGGTTTAGCAGACTCTAAAATGAGTTTTACCTTTAATACTTACAGTAACCTCAGCTGAAGGATGTTGTTCTTTTGAGATATTTCTTATGGAAGTTAGAAAACCCTTTTCAAAGGCTACTGGATAACCATTGGCATGATCTTCACCCTCCAGCGATCAAAAGTAGTTGTGAGTTTTTCCAGCTGGTAGATTTCATTTGCTGCTGTCTCTCAGATAGATTTGCCTGGCATAACTTTGTACAAATATTCACAAGGCCTGGTTATCTTATCTGCTGATGACACACACCCAGCAGCCATCCCTTTCTCCTTTTCCTCCACAGGTTTTTACATTTGAGGCACCTGCAGATGCTTTAATGCAGCACGGCTTGTGAAGAATTAGCAGGTAGGAGTTCAGTGTCTTGAAAAGGGATGTGTTAATAGGACGCAGAAGGGACCTTTTACACATCTGTGCCCTTTCACACACCTTTCTGTCCAACCTATAGACTAAAAAGATATAATTGTAAAAGGGTTAACACGTACCTATTGTGTGCTTAAATACAAATCCAATCTCAGTTCATATCATATTAAGCTAATATATAAGCTATATATTAAGCTTATATTAACTAATATCATTTTAGGGTTGGATCAGTTTAGTTTAATTCGTGCAGTTTTCATACAAGCTATCATTTTGTTCAACCTGCAAAAGAATCAAGCATTACCTTTAGTGATGAGGATTGAAGAATGAGGATTAAGTCCTATTGTTCTGTCCAATAATTAATGCAAACTCATGCTTAATATGAATATATTTATATTTCATGTTATATTATATATTTCCTTGTCTTCCATGTATTTTGCTTAAAGTCACTTGAAAGTTCTACATTAAAGATTACCACCCTTGAAAATATATGCTTTGATGAAAGGTTTAGCTTTGTACAGTCCAAGTCAGATGTCCCCCACAGGGACAATAAAGTATATATCTATCTGACTGCTAGCTGAGAGATAAAATAGTTTCTATATATTTTTAGCAATGCACTGTAGAGATTCTTTGTTACAAAAGAGTTAATGCTGTAATGTAAGAAACTTTCTTTGGATGTAACTTGTTAGATTTAGTCATTTTTATGTCATGGTGCAGTTTAAAGTACATTTAAAAGATTTAAGAAGAATATGTTGGTTTCTGACCAGGCGAGATGTTTCAGTGTATCTGTTGTACATTAGGACCAATGCTGCTGTAGGAACAGACTGTGGCAGCCACTAATGAAAACTAGACAGTCAAAGATATGCATGTCCAACTTGGTCTGTCTTTCTTGTTCTCTGCTTCCATCTGTCTTGTCACTCTCTGCTGTTTATCAGCTTTAAAAGACAGACATTGCACGGTACACTTTTTGTACTTTTTGTTGTCCTGACAATCCGTCTCAGTGGTGTTGTGTGACATTAAAGATTCTGAATATGAGAGACCCAAAGGCTCAGTTTTTCTCCCTTTGGTGTTAATCTAAGAGATTCTGGGTAATCATGGCACATATGGCTCCCACCAAACCTCATAAGAAAAAGTATAAAAGTGTTGGATGATTTTCAGCTTTAATTCCCCTGTATTTATGTCATACTGAGAGGAAAAACAGTGGAAAACCAATAGTAAAATTAATTCTTTATGTGCTCAGGCAACATTTTAATATGGAGTCGTTTACACACACACCCATATGTGCTTGCTGCCTTGTATCTTACGCAGTATGTGGTAACAGTCCACCATTATTCAATTTCTTAAAGTACACAGCAGAAAATCTGACAACTGAAACATACAGGTTTATCCTATTAGTTATCTGTGTGTACATACTGCCTCCTTGTGGTGAACTTACTTATTTTTCCTTTCAGCAGTCCTGATGCTGGAGTGTGTGGATCAGTTGATCTTAATTTACATACAGGTAATGACAGCATCAGTGGCAAAATGATGATGCTTGAAACCTGCCACATTGCAGAAGTTGCTTTTTATTTCATTTTAATAATTAATAATTTAGAATTAAATTAAAAGTTTAAAAACTGCACCTAATGTAGAAAATATGGCCTTTTGCAGAAACTGTACTTCAACTTTTAGAATTGTCTGTTCTTAAATCTAAATGTCCTTTCAACTTTTAGCCCTATAAATATATAATGGCTTTTAACCACAGATTTTCAGCTTGGTATGTGGCTGTCATAATGAAAGGATAAAAACTCTGAGCCTATTACGATCAAAGGAGATCAAAGTGACTGTTGCGAGCAAAATGTCCAGTCTAGATAGCGATGCCAACAAAGTTAAACTGGACTTTTACTGCAAAAAGACAGCACAAGGCTCTGTGATGTAAATACTTTAAGCTGCAAAAAGAAGAGCGTCTGAGATCTATCACTTGAGCAGGTTAAACTTGAAAGCATCAATCAGAAAAATAAAAGACACAGGGAGGACTCTGTACACAATTTGTGCTTTATTGACAAAAGAGATTGTACAGTTTCTACTGTTGATTGCAAGAGCAGCGTTGATCCATCACCTTTACGCAGGACACCTCCTCCCCTCATATTATATAGCTAGCTATATGACTGAACTGCACAGTGCAAATCGCATTATCTATCTACCCACTGTGTACCTGTGACAGGTGAAAACAACTGGCGGGTGGCAACAAAAGATTGATCACAAATATGTGGATTCATGTGACATTTATGGCATTTTAAATTGAAGGCATGAGACGGCAACGGACAAAAAAAAAAAAACATCCTGTGGCTGTGATGAATAGTCAAGAGTCATGAGTAACAAAAACTATGTGGTCTGCTCTTGTTTTTTTGTGGCTTTATTATTTATTTATTTTTTTAGGTGCTCATGTGAACAACCAGCCACACAGGCTGTGCAAAATGCCTGATGAACTGAAAAAAACTGTATTCTGATAGGAAGTAACAAAAAAATTAAAGATCTGTCTGAGCATGAGAGAACACATCTGATACAATGAAGACCATAAATGATTGATAGAGACTTCACCGAAGTCATAAAACAAAGAGGGCCAGCCCCAGGATTTCTGCATAGCAAAATCTGGGCAGTAGAAGTAGAAGAGGTACTCTATTAGACAAATATAAACTGATGAACAAGGAAAAAGTCTGGCATTAAAAGCTTCTCCCATACATTATATTAGTACATTCGAACCTGAATATACAGTGTCCGTCTTCATTTAAATGGCTTATGCTTACATAGCAGACCCCTCACCTGAAGACTACTCACCCTCCTGACTTAATGCTTAATTTGCAGCTTAATTTCCCAACATGTAAAAGAGATTTTGCATCCCTTACATAATGTAAAATGAAAAGGCTATTATGCAAGTTGTTGTAGATGATGGTAAAGCAATAGAAAAGAAAAATAACTACATTCTCAAAATTCAAAGAAAATGTGATTTCTTCCTGATTAAAAAAAATAAAAGGTCTGATTAATTTTACATGAAACATTAATGAGTATTTTGACACTTATATATTTAAATCAATGTTCCCAGTGTTTTACTTTTTTTTTATAGTGTACAGTACTTTACTCGGTCAGATTTATGACAGACCATTTCAACATGAGCGGTGGACAATTTTTGGAATGACTGCATATATATGTATCAGCTTCTCTTCGATTGCTGCATTTTTTTGCATACTCACTTTTACAATACAAAAGTATGCATGGCACAACAACAAGTGCTTTGAAAAGCTTATGCTGTGTGTGTCACTTCATATCTTGGCTAACTGCTGAGAGAAAAATCTATTATTAATCCTTGGGTAAATAATCAACTGGTATAATTAAGCATTATATTATGATCTAAATTACATTAACATGTAATTCTCCCTACTCTTAAAGTGAGTATTTAACATATTAAGACCATATCCAAGAGGCAAAAAAATATGTTTAGAGGGACCATAAGGCTGAAACACTCCCAAAAAAGACAATTATAAGACCCCTAAAAAAATCAAAATATTAAATCCCAAGAAGTTATTAATTTAGAAAGAAAAACGACATATAACATTCAAATAATATAACAAATAAGAAACCAGATTAACAGTAAAAATCTCACTATGCAGACAACAAAAAGAGTCCTGAACAAACCTAATTCTATCTCAAAGACGTAACACCCCCCTGCTCTCCAGTTAGCCCGTAAAGCGAGAGAAAGCATCAATCAAGCTCCATGACAAAGCACAGCATCTCAACAATGCGACTGGCCAGGCTGGAAGGCCAACTGGCTCCGTGCAGGTCTGGACATATTGTTCTTCGGAACGTGGATCAAAAGATGTAGTCTCGGGTCATCTTGAGGGACGGCATGGCCTCGTTGACGTTTTGGTCCAGGCGGTGATATTCCACGGTGTTGCGGGAACACAGGCCGTCCTTCCAGCGCCGGCTCTGAGCCAAGAGGAAGATCTGAAAAGAAGGAAATCAAATTAATCTGATAGATGTACAAGTGCTGATCAAGTAAAAATATTTCTTGGTTGACAGGCTAGCAGAAAAGATGAAAGACTAGATAATTGGAATCCTTGCTTCAGCTGTAAAACCCAAATCTACATGGGGTCAGCATAATATATATTATAAAACCTTCCTCTACAGATTTGACAGAGAAAGATCTCGTGCCTCTCACATTTCATCAATAATGATAAGAAAAATTCAATAGAATATGTAGTATTCCGGAAAAAAAAAAAAATATAAATTATAAAACCTTCCACAGTTCTACAGTATTAGTACGTTACAGGGAATAAAAAAAAAAAGGGGGGGGTTTGACAGAGAAAGAACATTCAAATTGTTAACTATGTAAGTGGTTAAATAACATCTTTCCACCCGTTCTTTTATAAAGAATAGGTCATGAAAAATTATCAATAATTATCGATATCAACTGAAAGGAAACATTTTATTGTGATAGATTTGTCAGCTATCTTGCCAAGCTCTAGTTTCACTTCAAAATCTTAAGCTGAATGTTTTAATAAATTGAAAATGGAAACAAAAGGAAACCATTTAAGGGATTTCCTGAAGAGGTTTTAGCAAGCAGCGAAAGAAAATCACAGTGCGAAAATTATCTGAATTGAGAAGAAAAAAGCAATTCAAATCCTTTCTGAATGTGTTCGATAGCTACTTATCAGACAACAGTTGAATAAGCAGAACATAAACTTAAATATGTCTTTGACTTCAAGCAGTCAACTCCCCTCTCATCCACAGCCGCTATATTATATTACACATGCGCTAAGATGTATTGTTCTGAGTGAGCCTGAATGCTCCACTGTGAAGCCAGCACTAATGGGAGAGAGGACTTCCTGTGGTTTCCTACTAGGGCTGTAACGGTTCTGAAACCGAGACCGAAATCGCGACACAAAAGTCCACGGTTTCATGTCGCGGATCCGAGAGACAGAACCGCAACACACTCGCTCCCTGGACTGTAGAGCTCTTATTAAGACAGTGTAACTGCAGCGGTGGCGGCGGCCCGTGGGGTGGTAGCGGTGTACGCCTATATGATATTTGTATTGACAGTAGGTTATTCTAGGTCATTCTCCACCTTATTTTAGTGTTTATTTACTACTTTAATCTGCTCCCTTTCTCTTCTCCCCACACTCACACACAGCACACACACCTAGCCTGGACCTCTAGTCACTCACTGTAAACACGCCCGCTTGCTCCGCCTCTTTCTGTCTCTCTCTCCCTGTGTGTGTCTCTGCTGACTTTCACCATCAGCAGTACGTTTCATAACCTCACCCGTGATTCAGTTTTCAAGTGCGCCGCATGTGGGTCCAAACCGAAACTAACGTTAGTGAGTGACATCTGCAGTGGTGCGTTCACTGACGCTCCGTAATGTAAGATTTCTTCCGTATCCGCTTAATGTAATATCAGATAACATCTCTCTCTCTCTCTGTGTTTCTCTGCAAAATGGGGAAACGGGGAAAACCGCGGTATGAACCGAACCGTGGCTCAAGAATCGAGGTCAGTGGATTTGGTGAATCGTTACACCCCTATTTCCTACCAAATAAACATTTTACTTCTTAAAATCTTAAAAACCCTAAATTACAGCTGCATGATGACATGTCCTGCCTCGTTCACCCCTCACCCTAAACCTTATGGAGTATTTCCAGTCGGGTGAAAATGCGTCTGACATGGACAATCTCCTGTTGAGTGCTACATGTGTTAAAGGGCAACTCCTGAAAATGTCCGTTATTAATTGGGATTTCACTTACTCAAGCAGAACAGACATTTTAGTTTATCAAACAGAATTAATCCCATTCTGAGCCAGGAAAAATCCGGCTGTTGTGATGCCAATGCTCACCTTCCTCTTGTTGTGGTAAGTGATGTAAACGATTGCGACCAGGAAAGCCAGGATGACCAGATGAAAGAAGAAGTGGGAGTCTTCATCCTCTGTGTTGTAACCGTCTGCTCCCTTGTAACGGGTCACCTCCATCCCGTCTGCCGGCTGCAGCCTGTGCACGGTCTGGTCTTTGCCGTCGTCATTGTTTTCATACGCAGTTTCCATGCCGTCATTGCCGTCGCTGTATCCGTAGTTACCTTTGTTGTCGTCGTCGTCGTCATCGTCATCCGAGTAATCATCCAGATCGGTGTGAGTTACTGGTCCTTTGTCAGTGGTCTCCAGCAGGTCTGAGTCAGTGTCCTGTTCTGTGGAAAGGTTCAGGGCATTGGAGGGTTTGGAGTCCAAGGCAGGTACTTCTGGCCCTTCTGTTACAGGTTTAGCTGGTTCAGGGGCTTTGACAGAGGTGGAAGAAGCTTCTGGAGTAGAGACTAAAGTAGGTTTAGAAGAAACAGGTTCTCCTGCCTCAACTACATCTTCATCTTTTCCTTCATCAGGTTGTGGTTGTTTGCCTCCATTGTTGACTGACGGATGGAGTTCAGAGTCATCAATGACAGTAACTGGATTCGTTTCCTTCTTCTTAGATGTTTTTGGTTGAACGGTTGTTGTGAGGTTGTCTTTAAGAGCTTCTGCTGCTTCTGTTGTTGTTGTTGTTGTTGTTGTTGAGTGATTACCAGCAGGTGTTACAGGGTTCTTGGGATCTGGTACAGTGACTTGACCAGGATCACTCTGATCAGGGGCCTTCAGCTCTGGGTCACCTGCTTTCTTGTTCAAAGCGCTGAAGGAAGGAGTCGGTGACAGGTTTGCCCCTTGATTTTTGTCTGGCCCTGTCAGGTAAGAGGGACAAGACATTACATGTTAGGTTAAAGAAATACTCCTTTAAAATAATTGAACATATCAATTTGAAACGTGTGCACAGTAAAGAAAATATGTATTTTAAATTAAGGATGGGTACTTTACTGACCACTTTCTACGTCAACCTGCTCCTGATGATGCAATGAGTCTGAATTCAATCTGAATTTTCAGTTTATTGAGCTACACTTTCATGTAAAGTGACACACTCATAACTCCATCACAGAGAGTCAACTTTGGAAATAACAGAAAAATTCATGTTTCACTTACAACAGCTTGTCTGTGTGTGAAAATAAGCATTCCCTTGCAACTTAACCTAATCCCACAAACACTGCTGACAATGAGTAACTTCTCTCCTTTAAGACACAATGTGGTGTGTCATCCCACAATGCAAATTTGTTGTAATTCACTGCATTGAACACATTTCATTACTCTCAATAAGATATTTTCACTGACACATTTGAATATACGCCCACGCTAGCCAGGTTTTCCAATGTTTCCAAACTGTTTAAGTTTATAAAGTTTCCAGTACAACAGACAAACATTTCAGTGTCATAATAAAAAAAATAAAGTGTTTTAAGTCTCGAGAATCTCTACAGCTGAATCAGTTCCTGGCTGTGTCTTTTAATGAGAGCTGAACTCAGCCTCATGCATCTGGCCAGCCTTCCTGAATCAATGACACCATTTAACCAACAAGTGTCAACATTATTTCATCCTGTGGGACTAGGAGGCGTTGCTTAGGAAGGGACAGGAGGAGAACACTAGGGACTTGAAGCACGGAATAAGACATACCCAAGAGAAGAAAGGGACTATTCATACACATTGGCCATGGCCAGCATAAATAATCACTGAACAGAAGATCTTTGTGGCAGCAATGAGGTTCTGGGCTTTTCTGTATGAAACAGCATGTAAGATATTCAACCTTTAAGACAGAGCAGCTTGGTCAAACCTGACAAATGTCTTCATATTTAGTATGTTTGTAGTATTTCCTTAAATCATACATCTCACTGACAAGTAACGGTAGATCTGCCTCCACTCTTTATACAGATTAAACCCAAATGTAATATTACTGCTACTTTAAATGCTGATTCAACAGCCCGACAACCAACTGGGCAACTACACAGATGTCATTTTGCTGTTTGCATTTCTAGCTAAATAAATATTTTACTACGTTAGTGGCTGATCAAGTTAAGGTCATCCTCCCTCTGAATAAAGATTTGTTCTGTTCCCCTCCCAGTGACAACACCCACAAGAATAAAACCTAGAGGGATAAGGACAGCACATGATATATCAAGATATGATTTCACAAAAGGATGAAATATTAAGTCAGTAAATGTTGTAATCATATACTGATGTGGTTCCCGGCTACAAGAGGATATTGCATCCATTACTAATGTCAGATCACAAGACTGGTGCGACAAATCATTTATAAATGCATGACTTGTGTATCACATATTTATGTGTTTGATCTTTCTGGATAAATATAAAGTGGAAACAACTTTGAGAGGAAAATAGCCCATTCATTAACAGCTTTTACAAACAACGATTTGAGTGAATACGGTGAGGCACAAGTATATTATAAAGAAGAAATAGGCTTGATATAACAAACACAATTCTACAACCTGGCAGCTACATGCATGACATACAATCTGTATGTAAAAGAAGATCACAGGCCATGAAATCAATCAACACTACTGACTTTATCTCATCTCTCATCATATTTCAGCCACTAAACCATGTATGCAGAACAGATCCTGCCATTTAGAGCAATTTTACAGCCTTTTACTGTGAGTTCCCAGTTCCTTCTTGATGGTTAAACTTCAAAAAGGTTTTTACTTTAATAAGCGGTGGGGCCACTGCACTGACAAGGGGTACATTAACAGCTCAGATATATGACAAGGACATCTGGACCTAGTCACTTTGTCTGGCCACCACAAATCATTGCTGCTCGGGAGTCCCCGCAGGGCCTCACAAAGTAGACCCTTTAACTACACTGCCATGTTCATTTTTTTTTGGGGGGGTATCATAAAACAGATATTTAAGTTAACTGGTTGCACTCAAAAGTTTTATCCAACACAGGTTTTCGCTAGTTGTGAAGTTGACGAGCTTTTAAATTCCAAATATGACTTCCTGTTTTCTTGTGATACGTATTGTGACCCGGATGTGTCTGTAATTAATAATATTTTTGTGGCGTTAGGATAAGTCAGAAAACTTAATCCAAAATGTACCGTTGAAAGGTAATAACTGTAAAATAAAAATAAATAAAAAATTAAAATTAAACCAGATTAAAAACGTTTGGATGATTCAACTGACAATCTCGCGACAGATTACGTTTCAAAACAAGACGGTCCACAACAACAACAACAACAACAACAACAAATAACTCATTAACGCTTATATTATCGGTTTGATCAACTGCACTAAGAAATTAAACACAGTTTTAGGACTTTTTCGGGGATATACAGACAGTCTGTCATCGTCTCTCTCGCTCACCTGACACCGACGCTGCTAGCAGGACGGACTAGCCAGCTAGCTAACAGACAGGTACTGTCGGTTGGTTTTAAAGAAGAAGAAAAACAACAACACATCCTCCATGTAGCTGTTCACATACCTGGTGGTGGTGGTGGTGGGGTCGTGTTTACCGGAGCTGACAGGCAGCCGCTGACTAACAGCTGGAGGAAAAGAACCAGAAAAAGAGCACACATATCTCTCCTGCTTCGCCCCATCTTCCCGCACGTCGCCATGTTGATGCGTGAGTAACTGGAAAGGCGTGGTTTAGCATGGCGTGAGTGTGTGTGTGTGCGTGAAAAGTGAACGCGTGATGTCTGTTGCTAATTATTGTCAGTTGTTTTTGACCCTCCAGATTGTTTATGAACTGGGCGAAACGCCTGTAAGTATAGTTTTATTGCGTTTTGATGCCATTGTCTGAGGGCCGCAGACCCCCACTGTTGTATGTGAAATGGGCTCTCATGCACTTTCATTACACAAAAAGAGGAAGTATTGCGTTATATGGGTCGTTATATGCACAAAGTTACACCACAAAGTGGAACTCCATATTAGGCCTCTTATGAGCATACTGTTAGAGACACTTATTATGGATTTGGAAGGGGTAAAGCTTGCATAAAAAGCATTGTAAACAACAATCACAGATATAAAATCCATTGTTTTCTGCCATGTTTTACAGAAACTTTCCATTTAGGTTTGAACTTGAATAGTTGACAGTTCAAAATTATGTTAGGGAGATAAAGTCTCCAGGTCGTCCAAGAGCTATTCAATCACTTTGTCTTGTTCTTGTGAAAATCCTGTCAGAACAGTGGTTAAGACAAGGCATGGTTTCACTCCTGATCCAGTTAAGAGAATTATAAAATGATTATATAATCATGAAATATTTATACCAAACATGCAGAGAACAAATGTCTATCAGTGGCTTCTCTGTAGGATTTGTGGGAAGTTTGCTGGGGTCTTCTTTACCAAGGTCCAAAGTGAGGTTTTTCATCCAGTTATCACAGCTACACAGATTCAGATCAGCTAATCATTTCACTAATTTATTAGTAATCTTTAGGTTTTACGTTAATTGGACATAGCAAGTAATTTAAAGAGGTCACATTGGGATCTGATTGACAGCATCAATTAATACAAAATAAAAATAAAATAACCCACTTCCCAGTAAAACTCAAAATCAGCTGAATTTTAAATAAACAAGGGTGGAAATTCCTCACAAGATTCAGGTCATGTGGTAAAAAGCAGAATTCAATCAGAAACTGGTTCAAGATGTTCCTTTATTGTATTCAGGGTATGACAATACTGTCAAGTACACTAAGCATAATTCCCATAACCAGTTGTGGAAGACTACCATTTCCTGTCCACTGTATTTATTCTTTGCATACTCCTTCAAAGAAGTACTGTAACTTTAATCCAGAGAAGTTCAACTGTGTGCACGATAGGTTTCCTTTCGTTTGCTCGACCAGGAAGAATTGACCAGTCATTGCCTTTGTAAGACTTCACAGGTGGATTAAACTATGCAAGACTGTCATTAAAATAATATTATTTTTGCTATATGTAACAAAAGACATGTTTCACACCAAATGCACAGACACAATAAACAAGTGAGACAAAAACACAGAATGTACACATTGGGGTGTAGTGTCTCTTAGAGCTACTGACAGCTGCTTACATCAGGGACAACTAACCCTTTCCCATTGTATAATACATCAAGACAGACACTGGAGCTCTTCCGGTGCAAAAGTGTGAAAATAAAACTGTTATTTCACCACTACAACTTTTGAGCAAGGAGTGCTTGATCGTGCTATGCAACAGCACCATCTGGTGGTGTAACTATTCATCTGTACGCTGAGTGTTGAGCCCTTTATGCATTTTGGGCTGATCTAGTTTAGTTTTCCCTTTTATCTGCATTGGAAAGCAGGGAGACACACAAATTAAAGCATTGAATGTAGTGAAATGACAAATGGTGAGGCCAACATGAACATACTCAAGGTTACCTTTCCCTTGCAATTCAAGATACAACTTTCTATTAAATGGTTCTAGTTTTGTTCTGAATTTGGCTCTTTATTTTCAAAATTTGTTCCCTTAAAGTGGTCCTTTTTAAAAGTGGTAGATCGTCACAAGAACGATTTGACCTTTATGCCGTCTTACTCCCAGCTGTAGCATGTCTAGGGGAAATGGGGGGAGGGCTAGCTAATCAATAAAGGATTTGGAGTTTATTTTTTTGGTGGGGAATGTGTGTGTGTGTGTGCGCTGGGAGGACTGGAAGGGCGTCTGCCTCATCCTCCTATGCCTGGAATTCGAGGCCGAGACCAAGCTTGTGGCCACCAGCGTTGATGTTCTTGCCGTCAAGGAGAGCAGAGAGCGTCAGCTTGATGCCTGCAGAAACAAAACACATCAGGATAAACCATTCATAGCCAGGGCAAGTGTGTGTAAAGTGAAAATGATTTTCTACTTAATCCTCCTAAAAACAGTCTGAAACAGTATTTTAATTTCACAGGTTTCTTACTGAACTATTCCATCCTTTAATCTTTTTAATCTACTGTTGTTTATCCTTGAGAAATTGTAGTTGTCGGCTATAATTTACCCTTTACAACTCTTTTTCAACTGGGCATCAATGAAGACTATTAGTAGTAGTAGTATTCTCAAGTAGTTTCGATGTCTTTCAGAAACTCTGAGTCATACGATCAAGGTGTACCCTGTACATATATAAAACTGACTTAAGTTACAAAAATCCACAAACACACATTAATTCCACTGCTCAGATTTTGACTTAATTCTAAGTTTGGAATCCTGATTAAATTGCCTTTTTCTGGATCATAATGTTGTATTCATTGAGTAAATGTTGACATATTGTAGTATTTGTAAACATGGTTGGTATTGTGTTTTATGTAAGCACAACTAAGTTATATACAGACTGCACTCACCTGGCTTCAGAGTCTGAGTGTAGCCCAGGCCCACAAGACTGGAGTTGTTCACCTTGGCCTGTGTAGGTATCACAGAAGAGAATCATACAGAGAACAACACATAGTAATTTATTGCCTGTTTCAAACTAAATATTTTAAAAAAATCTAAGCTCTGATTCATACTGAATTCTGAAACTGATACTGTGATTCAAAAGTGCCACCACTGAGACATTTTCACTCAAAAATGCAATGTATGCTACTAATAGTATAAATAAAAAATACATATAATTACACTAACAAACAACCATTCACACTAATTGGCTCAGCTGCAAGTGGGATTTAAGGACTAATGTGATAGACAGGACTAAATTAGCCTGGGCCTTTCTGTAGCAGACTAGCAGACTCCTCCCATTGGCCATTTTGGCACAGATGAGGCTTCTCTCATGCCAAACTGAACGTGATGTACTCCCATGGACATTCTCTCAAGTTGGTCAGCCGAGCAGGACATGCAGCAAAGATTGTGACCTAGATTTAAATGGAGCAATATCACGACTAGTCGTGGTGCATCTTAGTTCATATCGTAGACACGCAGAATGTCTCTGTAAAACTAGAAGTCAGTTATACCGCACAATTCCTTGGAATTCCTTGAAGGGATCAATAAAATAACATTTTAATTATACAAGATGTTACTATACCACCACCACCACCACTACTACTACTACTACTACTACTACTACTACTTCTTCAGGTTACACACTACTCACAGAGAAGGATGCATCAGAATCAATCTGATACTTGGCAGCGATGCCAAAGCGGGTGTTGCTGTTTCCGGCAGTCCATGCCAGGTTGACGGCTGTCTCCAGCTGGTCATTCACCTTCTGGTAAATGGAACCACCAAACTCAGTGCCATCATTTCTGAGGAAAAAGACCAGATTGGGATATATGTAAGTGTTACCCTCGGTTCGCACTGCCTACCCGAACAGCATGTGAGGGCTACGGCGGTGAACAGCGGCATCTGGCACACGAGCATTGTTCACTGCAGAGCTGCTGCCCTATCTTTCTAAGCTGAGTTTGCCTTTGATAAATACCACACAATAAAATCCCTGTTAACATATGAATGGATTCAGTCCACAGATATAGACACTGAAACTGTACTGAAAGGTGTATATGTTGCTGGTATAATGTCCATATGACTATGAACAGACCATTTTCACTCTGTTTCTGCTGGGAAACGCGTGCAGTTCCCGGAAAAAATAGGCGAGACCTCGACTCTATAGCGAGATGTGCAACTCAAGCGGGCGGTGTGACTGCTCTAATCTGTTCCGCCATGCACACGCGCTGCTCAGGTAGGCGGTGTGCATGAGCTGTTACTGCAACTTGACTACAGTTCTCCTACAGGTCGTATTTCCCCTAAAATGGACAAATGATGGCTTTGTGTCTTGTAAACAAGGAGAATTCCTTATTTGGTATCTTGCGTGTCTGTTAAAAAGCTCCTCAGATGAGTGCACTGTCGCTGATGTTAAGCCTACATTACACTTTGTCTGACCTTACACAACCACTTCAGCTGTAGACTGAAACAGACAGGCTTGGCCAGGGGCACAGCAGGAAACAAGACTAACACTGTACCCTGTCCCTCCCTCTCTCTCTCTCACTGTCTGACCCTACCTCACTCTGCCTTTTCACTGAAGCCCTTTATGCTTGCCAACCATTCACTCCACCTCACTTGCAATATAGTAAATCCAATCACCTGGTTGTAAAAATAACTGGCAGGCACTTGGGTGCCCGGCAGGCAGCCAGAGGAGCAACAAGTCAGTCTGCCAGGGCTGAAAACTTTTAAAGATGTCTGGTTGTTGCTTCACTTATAGCTACAACTTTTAGCGTGTCCAGGTGCTTTTTCAGAAATATTTCAATGCTGCTTTTATTAATATTTTTCTCTCACCAGCTCAGGGCAGTATACATTCATTCTCCTAAATTTAAATGAACATGAACTGCACCAAATTCACACCGGATGTGGAGAGGCCACAATGGTCCAACAGTGCATTAGAAATTCACCATGTGTGGTATAATAAAAGGATACATGCTAGCATACTACTCCTGACCATCTGCTGCTTCATGCAGACTTACACATTTGTATGGAGCTGGAACTCTTCAGTCTTAAATCCAACCGCAAAGTTGCTCTGGGTGATCCTGTTCCTGCCAGCCTCGAAGGTCATCTGGTAGCCGGCAAGCCAGCCCTCGTAGCCTACTACTGCTGCACCGTGGATAGCTGTGCCATTGATGTCATAGTTAACGTCACAGCCAAGGTTGATGTGGTCGCACTTGTAGCCCGTCTTGATCTTGCCGCTCTTCTTGCTGATAGGATGTTGGGGAGA